TGTGTGTGTGTGTGTGTGTGTGCATATGATGAGTGTGTACAGTAAATATATGGGCGTTTTGTGTAGGCCTATATGGTTTTCCACAGGATGTGTGTAGAAGCGTATACATGTGTGTACAGACGCATGTACTGATGTGTATACTGATGTGTGTACATGTGTCCTGCATCCTTGCGCACACACGCGCAGGTAGACAGGTAAGCATTAAGGAAATGAGAAATAATTACCAGAGGAACTCCAATGTGCCTTGTTTAAAAAGTGCTTCCTCTGACAACCTCAAAACCTCGCCAGCTCCTCTCTCTTCTCTTGATCACAGCACCGGAGAAAAAAATAAAATAGAAAATAATAATAACAATAATAAATAATAAATAATAAACCCGGATGTTCCTGTTTTTTGGGGTTAAATGTTCATGACGTATTGAAGATGAAGTACATGACGTAAGGAGATTAGTTGCCCCTTCAAATGCTTGGCACTTTCAAGAGCTACTTTGGCACTGGCGTTATGGGGTTGGCACTACGGGCTGCGTGTAGGATCTTAGGGGTTCTGGCGAATATCCTCCGGGCTCTTAATCTACGCGAAAGGGGTTTTAAAACACGTCTCCCCGAGATTTTTGGGTTCAGCTGATGACAGTACGTGGTTTTCCTTGCATTATTCACTTCTTTTTCTCTACGTTATCTCCTCGCGTTACATCGCTTCTTTTACGACACTAAATTCTACCATCACTCATACGCATAGGTGTGCAAATGGTAATCTCCAGTAATATTACAAAAGGATTAGCGAGTGAGATTTTCCACTACAAATCGGTGTCATATGTCTCTCATCACCGCAAGAATAACACTGAGCGATTCAGGCCACGTACGGGCGTCTTATGAAGGAAAACAAATGAAGCGGGAGATGCGCATGACGTATGACAGGCGTATTAACCTCCTTTTGGAGCTATTCTGAAGAAAGTCTTTCCATCTTTGTTTATATGAATATTTCCTATAATTTTAGCGGGTTGAAACACCCTTGGCTAAGTAGAAATTCTCTGACTAAGCCGATATATAGTGGAGAAGAGCAGACGACGCAGCCCAGCTGATTCACCGATAAACATGATACAAGGATACTAGAAAAAATACCGTGATTTATGAACTGATGACCTAAACTGAAATGCAATAATAAAGGTGATGAAAGAGGCAAAACCATACATAAAATATAGCAAGTAAAACAGTAGCTTGTAAATGAAATAATTAGCAAAAAGCTTTAAAGGATCGCCGAGCCGCCTGGTGCTCAATGTGGACCCGTGCGATTGGCTCACTAACCGTGACGTCACAGTTTACTGCTCGCGGATTGGTCAATGCTCGCAGGCCGAAAATAGAAAATGTCCAAGTGCGCGAAGTTCAAATGCTGTTCATTTTTGGCGTACGGGCCACCGGCTACCATGGGACAACCGGCATGTTTAGAAATACCCCAAATGAGCTGAAGGCACCGGCTACCCAAAGGGCTGCCAAGAAGAGGGCGAATTAATGACCTTGACATTTGGAAAGTACAGATTTGTCTTGCGGATTGCAGGCGCCGCGCCGAGGTCAGCTGAAGGACATTACTTGATCAAAGCAATACTTTGACTTCGCATAAATACATTTTTTTACAGATAGACCGTAGTACGCTTCTTTTATGTACGCACAGGACGTTTTTAATGGTAACCATACGTCTTTTGTCTGTATCTACAATTATAGTGTAGTGTGCATATATGTATACATATGTATATATACATACATACGTACATACATACATACATATATATACATATGTATATATATGTGTGTGTGTATATGTATACAAGTGTGTATGTATGTACGTATGTATGAATATATACATATGTATACATAT